GTAGGGAAAAGAGGTGATACCAAAAAACCTTAATTATTATGTGCCAGAAAAAAGTATTATCAATTCTGTGTTTCTGAGTCAAAAATTATTTCAGTCTGCATGAGTCTCAATTCTAAAAAAAATTACCTTTTTTTCCCTTTGGCTATAGACCTACCTAAAAAGGCTATTGTATTCTCTCTATTTATCTTCTTTAATTTTATTTTTGCCATTTAGAAGGGTATCTATACAACTTAATCATGACAAGTTCAGTCTAACAATAATAGTTATGGCATTCCTTATTTGCTTGATCGCTTCAGAGTGATTTGTATTTCTGTTGTGGCATGTTACAGTCCAGCAAGACATGTTAGAGAGAGAAATTGCTCGCTTGCGGTCTCTCTTTCATCAGCAGCAGCAGAAGCTGCCCCAAGAGGCCGCTCCTTCCCACAGTCGAAGTAGGAGCAGAGATCTCGATTCTCAGTTTGCCAATCTGTCAATAAAACACACAGAGGGAAACTCCGGAAGAGACCCAGCCTCTGGTTTTAACATATAATTGCCGCCTTCCCTCCGGTGGCTGTACCTCAATCTCTCACCGGTGTTTTTCACATAACAAGCGTGAATAGTTACCACCGGATCCAAGGTAAATAACTTGAGGGGATTCTATTTTATTTTTCCTTCGAATTTTTTCTTTGAGAAAGCGTCAAAATGATCACTCGACTCTTTGTAGGGGGTCATTTTAGTCCTAGAGTCTATAAAAAATGCCAAACATTTTTAATATGGGCCACAATAGTCCTTTCTGGGGACGCTATTTTAGTTCATATTAAAGGTGTCTGGGAACTAATTTAGTATTTTTATAAGTTTTGGGACTAAAATGACTCAATATAAATAGTCATGGGATTATTTTGGCACACATTGTGCACCTGCGATCGGATTCAGCTCACGCCCACTTGTCAATTCTCGACTTGTCGGAGGTGTTAGTTTCTTCCTGTAATCTTTGTTTCTAACTACTTGCCTCAGTTGCGCTGTATTTTGACGGAAATTATAATTTTAATGTTAGTTCTATTATATTATGTTCGATGAATTTTTTTTGTTTGACGGTGTTGGCTTTTCATGGCCATGACCATATGGTAGTTGATCTATGAGCAGGCTGAAGTATTTTCATGGTGGAGCCATGTTATTTGATGGTTATGAATAAGTGTCTCTGCAATCAATTTTGGCATCGCTGTTCTTCTTTTCTTAAAAGTTTATCATGTTTCAGCATGCGCAACAGGAAAGAGTTCTTTGAGATGGTCTTCACTCTGTGGTCTTCTGATTAAGGGGAGGTCAAGTTTCAAATCATTTTGAAATAAATTTTATGTTCTGGCATGTTTTTTCCAGATATAACAGGATTAAAATATAAAAAAAAATATTTTAGCTGGAACGTTGGGATCTTTTTTTATTTTTCTGTGGTGCATTTCCAGACATAGCACACAATTCTAATGTATATCTCACACCTAAACTCTCATATTTATGTACATTGCACTTTGAAATTACCAGAACATAAAATTTATTTGATAAAATGAGGAAAAAAAAACTGTTTTAATTGATTAAATTAGATTTTGTAATATCTAATCCAATGCTTAAAATGTCTAATTGTCAAGAATATAGACATTTACAATTATCTCATCCTGGTATGCGTACCCTTTTAAGCCCTGATTTAGTTCAAATTCCAAGCATCTTCAAGTAATTTTTTCTAAAATTTATAAGCATCTTAACCTATAGGCAAAACTAATTATGAAAATCATATAATAACTGTAGGATGACAAAACTTCAATTCTATCTCTTCTTTGTTGTAGTTCGTGCATGCGTTTGTTAATTGTTGTTTTAATTGAATAGGAAATTATTAGATGATGTCAAAATTGGTACTCGTTTCTCTTAATGGTCCATTTTATGTATTCTACATATCATGCTTGCATTACTTCACATGAAATGTTTTCACCATTGTTGGCAGTGTATTGCATAGGTTGAAGGACTGATTAAATATGAAGGATTTTTTTTTTTTTTTCTGTAATGTTGGTTTGCTGTTAATGGAAATGCATTAGTTTTTTTGGAAATGCATTAACAAAATTATAAAAATAATTGCATCGGTACATAAAATATGTTAGGACTTTAAATTTTTCTATTACATTAATTGTAAGTCTTTCCTTTATACATAATATCAAAATAATAAAAATTATAAAAATAACAAGTAATGTTATAATGATGTTTATTTTCATTAATCAATATTTCAAAATAATTTTTTATGTATAATATTTTTTATGATTTAGGATTTGTTTGGGCCAGCTGTAGATTATTTATAATATGCTGATAAACATATTATCCTGACAATCTGATAATCTGTAGATTATCATGATAAACTAGTTTGTTGTTTGGGGGTGCTTATTCAGAACAATTTATTGACAGCTATTACTGGATAAATGATAATTATGCCCCTGTTTAGTTGAGTTGTTTGCAGCAGAACTGTATGAGTACAGAAAAAGATAAAACAAAAACCTCAAATCAATAAAAATGTGGGATCTTTCCAAATTAAAAATGCAGGTTAATGATGTTGATGCTCTTCTTATTTCTATTATCCTTATTAATAATGGTAAGGAACAAGTTAAAGTCAAGAATATTATGGGAAAATCTATTTCTTACACCTTTGTTAAGTCCTTTAAGCACTCTAGAGGCTTAATTTTACATTGGATTTGGAATTCTTTAGTGAAACCTTCACCTTTTTTTTTTATGTTGGCAGCTTCTTCATAGAATTATTCATACTGAGAATATTTTTGAGCTTAAAGGGATAAAGGTGGTTTCTAGATGCTCTCTTTGTAAGATGAAGTGAAGATCGAGCATTTTTTTTCCAATTTTTCTTTTACTAAGAAAATTTGGAATATGATTTTTTCTTTGTTAAATGTTCAGTTGAATTGGAATTTTGTTTTAAGTATTAGTGATTTGATGAATTTTTTGAGACGCAAAGGTGGTAAGTTCTATACTTTGTTTCAATTATTGTTCCTTGGTTTCCTTGGACAGTAAGTAATAAAATTAGGCATTATGATAAGGTTATTTCTGAAATTACCTGTTATAATTCTATTAAATGCTATATTGGTAAAATACTAAAGTTTCATAAATTCAAATTTCCCATTAATAAGAACCTGTTGAACCTTTTTCAATGTTCTTAAATTCAAATTTCCCATTAATAAGAACCTGTTGAACATTTTTCATTTGTTTAATGTTCTCATTGTTAGTAAAGATAAGGTGCATTCTAATATTATTGTTTGACATAAACTGAATAAAGAGGTTGTTAAATTTAATACGGATGGAAATTGGAAAAGAGCTTTAATGGACGGTGGTTCTGCAAGTATCGGTGGAGTGTGTAGGAATCATTTTGGTAATTGCTTATGTTGGTTTTTTGAACATTCTTTTACGGCTAATCCTGTTATGGCGGAGGTGGATGGGATATTAACTACTATAAAATTAGTCATTAGCTATTGCTGGAATAAAATTATAATTGTGATGGATTCATCGTTCTCTGGAATATTTATAATTATCTTAAGGAGTATTCTTGATTTATCAATAATTATATGAAGTATTTTTGATTGTCAAAGTATTTTGTAGGTGCAGTGATCCTTTATTCATCGTAATGATAATCAATGTGCAGATTGGGAGTCTAATCAATGTTTGGATTAGCATAAAGTTATAGTTTCCAACAAGATTCCAACTCATGATGATTGTTTGGATCTTCTTTCAACCGTGTAAATAAGTGATTGTTTTTTATTTTGTTTGTGTGATTGGCCTTAGGCTCTTAGGTTTATTTTTTTTCCTTGAGTTGTAGTATGGTGGAGTGTAGTGGAACTTTTGGCCACCTTGATGTAAAATTAATATTAGAGCAATAAAATTTCCTATGGAATTATTAAAAAAAAATAATGCATACCCTAATGTAAGTTGATGATAACATTGTTAATAGTTGACAAAGCAATTACCATAATTTCATTCAGTTTTTGGGTTTTCTATTTTCTTGCATTGGTTGTTTGTTCCTTTAATTTTTTTTTCTGTCTTTTATTTTTCACAATCCTCTTATTAGGATTTCCTTGTTTTTTACTTATGATTTTATTCATCAAAGCTTTTTTTATAATTGCACTCATCATATAAATATAGTCAACCAATGTAAAATGCCAATTCAAAATAAGTTTCTTTATATGCCAATTCAAAATGTATAGGCATTTTAGACTCTTTTTTGTATTTCTATGAAATTGTAAATTTTCTCACACCATGTCCTACACATTGTCATGACACTCTTATTCTTAATTGGTGAACTTTATAGTAGTGCTAGTTGTTTGTTTATGAGCGCTTTAAAGAAGCATTCTAACATGGTGTTAAGGGAGCAATTTTTTTTTATTGAATTGTTGATACTCTTGCAAATATTTTCTACAGGTTGTTACTGTTAACTACTTTTGTTTGTTAGTTTTTCATTTTACATCTCTTATAAAGATGGTAGCATTATTTCAAGATAATGAAGATCCGTCATCTAATTTAGATGAGTTTTGGGATGACACAGACTGGTTAAATTAAAAATGATTTAGTGTGGTTATTATGGTCGTATTGAGTATTGCATTTTTATTGTTACATGAGATAGAAGGGAAAAGTAAAACTACAAACTTGAATGGATTATAAAACACATACATATATGATTAGTTAATATTTTAGCTTTGATTTTGATTGCATTGTTAAGCTGTGTGAGGATAAGGTCATTCTATAATAGATTTGCTTATAGCCATATTTAATGTAGGGATTGAGTAAGTCGTGTTGCTAAAGATGTTTGCATATAGTATACTAGGATGAATATTTAGAAAAAAAGAAGACATTTATTGGCTATGAGGATGCATAACTTATTCAATCATGTTTTTTTAAGTAAGAATTATTTTTAAAATAATATATAAGGCTAATGCTTTTTAGTTAATTTTGTTGCAAATTTTTTAAAAGATGTTGGTTATTTGATTAATAAAAAATTATATAGAGTTAAAGAAGCAATAAGGTGAGGGATATGCCACTTAAGAGTATGCTGAGGTTAAAATTTCGTACTCTATTTGGGAATCAACAAATTTACTTGAATTATAATGAGTCCTCAAATTTTATATTTATTAACATAGATACATCACAAATTAATGATGTCAAGTGGTTACTAAAGAATTTTATGTAGGAATGACAAGTTGAGTAGCATCGTCAAGTTTCAAGAAATCTGGCTAACAAGAAAATAATAATATGTTTGCCTTTAATTAATTTTTTGTGAGTATATCATGATGGTTCATAGTATAACTGAAATTGATAATGCAACAAGAGTTTATGAGGAAAGGAAAATGATATGATAAATGAAAATCTATCGAATAACCAATTAATAAGTAAGTCCTTTATTTACCAAGTATTTTTGACTTTTTTTGTGGAGGAAACTGATAGAATATTAAAAAATCTATCGAATAAACTAATAATAATTTACCTTTTCCTTTTTATTTCTAGATTTGGGGAATGAAAGGTTGGATGGATTAATCATTTTGACATTTAGTATATACTTAGATTGTGGGTTATACCTATCATAATTGTATATACATTTTGAAACCATGATATATTTTAGACTTATAATAATATTAAGTTTATTCTTAAGTTTTTGTTGATTTTAGTCTTGATATAAGTATTTATATTTATGATCAAAGATGTGAAAATAATTCATTATTTTGAATATTTTGATTTGTTTACTTTAATATTCCTAAAGAAAGAAAAGACTATTTTTTTTCAAATACTATTTCAAACACTATCTTTTTAATGTTGTACCACTTTGGCTATAATGTTGCCAATTATAGTTCAATGACAAATTTCACTCTACACCAAACTAAATAGAGAAGGTAAGTTATATGCATTTAGTTTGCTAACAATTCCTTTGAATATGAGAAAAATACTCCCCAAAAAACTATTTGACAATGAATTTAAGTCGCATTTAAATAAAATATTGACAAACAGAAGGAAATAGCAACTTTTAAATCCATGAAGTAGTAAATCTAATTTTTTTTTCAAAATTTTCTCAAATTGGTCTTAAATCCCGATATTTGCAAAATTTAGAAA